CTGCTCATCAAGCCCACTGTCTGTTGCCATTCCTCTGAAATCAGCCGATCCGCTTGGATTTGGTCGAACGTGAATTCCCTGCATGGAGCCCAGCAGCCGGCCCCACGAGAGAGAGAGAGAGAGAATATGTGAGAACGGCTAGTTTTCAAAAAACAAGAAAGGATGAGAGAGTTTAAAAACCTGGCCTGGCTTTTTGTCTTCTGCTTAATACGCGACGGGTGATTCTTTTTCCTTCCCCTCCCTGTTTTAAATGAGAAATATATGCAGCGCGCTCTCTGCTGACAATGTCCTTGAGGATTTGACAGTGAGATTTTCCAGCCGTTGCTCTTCGTTAGGATCCTGGCGGTGTCTAACAAGGCAGCCGAACTGCCGGTACCTTCGGCTCCTGTTTGTTCTCGGAGGGCTCCGGGGCTGCTGCAGTAAGCACATCGACCGGGGCTGATCATTACAAGGGCGTACGCCACCATGAATAAAAATGTCACTCGCACTCCCCCCCCGTCTCACAGCGGTACAAAATGTCAGCCCTGTCAAACACACATTGCAGGGAGCACCGAGCAGTCAGTACAAATTGGAAAGCCGAATATTCCCCCGGCTTTCTGATATTCTTCATTTGAAGCCGAAGAAAAACAGTTGTTAACCTATTAGCTGTGATTTCTAACTCCGCTGAAGCCAGGGACGGACAGGTTTGCCGTGCACGCCGCACAGGGGACCCCTGGGTTGGCGAAACCGGCCTCCCTCCTTTTGTATTTGGGGGAGCCTGCAAGGAGAGGCCCCCCAATGCATCTCCATTGCATTTCGGCAGCGGCGCTCTGGAGAAGCGGCCAAGACCTCCTTCCCCTCAGGTTTTTCTTGCAAATGAACTGAACTCTGGCCCAGCAGATGTCACATTGCTGTAAGCTTCCTGCCGTTGTGTCTAGGCGCAGAATGGAAGGTGTAGAAGTTGTCGAAGTAATGGGTCGTAATGATCTGGATTTCCAGGAGGTATCACTCTTTGAGGCCTTCTCAAAGGAACCTCCACGCTCCTCGCTCGGGGAGAATTGGGGCCCAAGAAAGCCGCAGAGTTTGGCGTTTTTGGAAAGGCATGACCTTGTTACAAATCATAACCTTTTGGAAAAATGATGCCATAACCTTTTGGAAAATGGCATTCACCATAACCTTTTGGAAAATTGTGTTCACCATAACCTTTTGGGAAATCGGGAATTTCCTTGAGAAGAGTTAAAAACTCGCTTGAGTCAACAGTCTCCTCCTTCACTTCCTTCCATCCTTCTTTCTTCTTTCTCCTTTTCTTCCCCCTTCCCTCCCTCCCTTCCTTCCTTCCCTCTTTCCTCCCTCCTTCCTTTTGTCTTTCCTTCCCTCTTCCTTCCCTCTTTCCCCCTTCTTCCCTTTGTCTTTCCTTCTTTCTCTTCCCTCCCTCCCTCCCTCCCTTCCTTCCGTCTTTCCTCCCTCCTCCCTTTTGTCTTTCCTTCTTTCTCTTCCCTCTTTCTCTTCCCTCCCTCTCTTCCTTTTCTCTCTCTTTCTTCCTCCTTCCATTCCCTTCCTCCCTTTCACCTTTCCTTCTCTCTTTCCTTCCTCCTTCCTTCCCTTTTGTCTTTCCTTCCCTCTTCCCCCCCTCCCTCCTTTCTTCCCTCTTTCCTCCCCCCTTCCTTTTGTCTTTCCTTCCTTCTCTCTTTCCTCCCTTCCTTCAATCCCTCTCTCTCTCTTCCTCCTTCCATTCCCTTCCTCCCTTTTACCTTTCCTTCCTTCTGTCTTTCCTTTCACCTTTCCTTCCTTTTTGTCTTTACTTCCCTCTTCCTCTCTCCTTCCTTCCCTCTTTCCTCCCGCCTTCCTTTTGTCTTTCCTTCCTTCTCTCTTTCCTCCCTCCCTTCAATCCCCCTCTCTCTCTTCCTCCCTCCATTCCCTTCCTCCCTTTTGCCTTTCCTTCCTTCCCTTTTGTCTTTCTTTCCCTCTTCCCTCCCTCCTTCCTTCTTTGTGTCTTTCCTTCTTTCTCTCTTTCCTCCCTCCATTCCGTTCCTCCCTTTCACCTTTCCTTCCTTCCTTCCTTCCCTCTTTCCATCCCCCTTCCCTCCCTCCCTCCTTCCTTTTGTCTTTCCTTCTTTCTCTCTTTTCCCCTCATTCTTTCTTCCTTCCTACATTCCCTTTCTCCCTTTCGCCTTTCCTTCTCTCTTTCCTTTCACCTTTCCTTCCTTCCCTTTTGTTTTTACTTCCCTCTTCCTCCCTCCTTCCTTCCCTCCCTCCTTCCTTTTGTCTTTCTTCTCTCTTTCCTCCCTCCCTTCAATCCCTCTCTCTCTTTCTTCCTCCCTCCATTCCCTTCCTCCCTTTCGCCTTTCCTTCCTCCCTTCTCTCTTTCCTTTCACCTTTCCTTCCTTCCCTTTTGTCTTTCCTTCCCTCTTCCCTCCTTCCTTCCTTTCTTTTTTCCTCCTTCCTTCTTTTTGTCTTTCCTTCTTTCTCTTTCCTCCCTCCATTCTCTTCCTCCCTTTCACCTTTCCTTCCTCCCTTCCTTCCTTCCCTCTTTCCATCCTCCTTCCCTCCCTCCCTCCTTCCTTTTGTCTTTCCTTCTTTCTCTCTTCTCCCCTCACTCTTTCTTCCTCCCTTCATTCCCTTCCTCCCTTTCACCTTTCCTTCCTTCCTTCTCTTTCCTTCCTCCTTCCTTCCTTCCTTCCTTCCTTCCTTCCTTCCTTCCTTCCTTCCTTCCACCACTGGGCAGCCAGTCTTCTTAGTAGGAAGGGCTAGCATGCAGTACCCAAGTTAGAAAGTTTTCCCAGGCCTAACCTAAGCAATGTCCATTCATTCACCTTTTTTACACCTTTGGCGGTGAAAAGCCGGCTTGCCTTTTGGTTGGGTTTCAATTTAAAAATGGTACGATGCCACACCAAATGCCAAACTGGTGTGGCGCAGCACAAACATCCCTAGACATGGGCATGCAAGGAGCATCCGAAGATCCCCAGAGCTGCATCTTTGTGCAGACGGCCAAAGGAACGCAGGGACGGCATTGACTGGCCTGGGAAAAGAGCAATATTTCTCGGGCAAGACGGGAAATGAGTGAGCGCGGGAGGCGCGAGAGCTAGAGCTAGCCCAGCACTTTCCTTTTCTGAGTTGCAGAGCCCATCTCTCCCTGTCATGCTCCAAAAACAGATTCATAGGATGCAGGGATGATATCTACTAAAACCAGCATCTTATTTGCACTTAATTTGTTGAGGTAGCAAAACACATTGTTTCAGAAAGGTCAGGAGGGGAAGCGGTGCTGGAACATCAGCTTAATTACCTGGCGGCACAGCCGACGAGGAGGAGGAGGCGGCAATGGATGCCCTGCGAGTGCTGCTGAAGGCAGCTGAATTACAGTCGCAAGCCCTCTCTTGAAGTCACCGGATGGGGAGAACAAACAAGCGGGGAGGCATCCCGTCCCCAACCAAGTCCAGTTCCCATTTGCAACCCTTCCATGCCATGCCACTCTTGCCTTCAACACCTCTAGCCTTCCAGATCAATACACAGGCCTGCTCAGAGCCAAGGTTGGCAGAACCTCCTGGACTAATATGGAGCATCTTCCCCCATTGGTTGTGATGGCAAAGGCTGATAGGAGATGCTGTCCAGAAAAGTCAGATTGTCAGCATTGGGCTGGAGTAGCCATGGGCCAACTTGGGCCCTCCCTTCAGGTATTTTGGACTCCAGCTCCCAAAACGTGGGTAAGTGGATAACCCCTTGACTGACTGAAGTGTCCAGTTCCAAGAGGACAAAGGCATGGGCCAACTTGGGCCCTCTCTCCAGGTGTTTGGGACTCCAGCTCCCCTAACGTGGGTATGCAGATGATCCCTTGATTGACTAGAGTGTCCAGTTCCAAGAGGACAAAGGCATGGACGAACTTGGGCCCTCTCTCCAGGAGTTTTGGACTCCAGGTCCCACAACGTGGGTATGCAGATGACCCCTTGATGGACTGAAGTGTCCAGTTCCAAGAGGACAAAGGCATGGGCCAACTTGGGCCCTCTCTCCAGGTGTTTGGGACTCCAGCTCCCACAACGTGGGTATGCAGATGACCCCTTGATGGACTGAAGTGTCCAGTTCCAAGAGGACAAAGGCATGGACCAACTTGGGCCCTCCCTCCAGGTGTTTGGACTCCAGGTCCCCCAACGTGGGTATGCAGATGACCCCTTGATGGACTGGAGTGACCAGTTCCAAGAGGACAAAGGCATGGGCCAACTTCGGCCCTCTCTCCAGGTGTTTGGGACTCCAGCTCCCACAACGTGGGTATGCAGATGATCCCTTGATTGACTAGAGTGTCCAGTTCCAAGAGGACAAAGGCATGGGCCAACTTGGGCCCTCCCTCCAGGTGTTTTGGACTTCCACCATTCATAACAGCCTCAGGCCCCTTCCTTTTCCTTTTCCTTTTCCTTTTCCTTTTCCCTTTTCTTATCTGCTTCATTGGCTGAAGGTGAAAAGGAAGGGGCCCGAGGCTGTTAGGAATGGAGGGCCCCAGTTTGCCCATGCCTGAGGTAGACCCTTTTGGAAAGACGTGAAGTACATCAAGGCCATAGCACTGCCTAACTTGTGCTTTCCCACTAGTACCATTCCTAGGTCTGCTTCCAGTTCTGTTTACCTGTCATGCTTAATAGGTGCCGATAGACCCAATTGATTAGGGAAATTGGCAGCCTTGATGGAGGAGAACAATTTTCTGCAGCATCCTCTTTCTTTCAGCGGCATCCAAGATGCCTCCGAGCAGGGCAGGAGAGGAAGCTACAAACAGGGCAAGATGGTCATCTGTACTCCATAGAGACGGAGCATGGATTTTCGTGGCCATCCATAGTTTATGAATCAGTCTCATCCCAAGAAGAGATGGTCAGGGAAGGTGTCCAGGGGCTCCTCACCCGCTGCCATCGTTCCATTAGGACTGAGCTTGGGATTTACTCCTTTGTGGAAGATCTAGTGGGAGCCATGCTGGAGTGCTATGTCTGTGTGGGGATGGGTTGCTCAACAAGCTGGTGACTGAAGTTTCTACTTTGATGCCGCAGCAAAGCACCCGGCCGGAAAGACCGCCTCCACCCAAGATCCACCGCTCCTCCAGGCCTGTGAGTAAACTGGCCACTCTACCTTTCTGCTGCCATCTTTAACCATCTTTACGTGCTCCATAGCATTACTAAATCTTGCTCTTTGGGACTTGCCAACATCATGGGACGCTCCATGAGCAACCAGCATCCTTTCTTTGCTCAAACTCAGTCCAAAGGCTTGACGTTTGGACTGTTTGTCTTCAGCCGGGTCTCTTCCCTCCGCCGTTGCTCTTGGGACACCTTTCTCTTACGCTTCGGGGATTCTTTTAACGTCAGGTGTGTTTGGTGTTCACATAAAGAGTTTTCCCTGCTGTGTGTGCAAAGGCCAATCTCCCAACTCAAGAGAAGGGCATTTCAGAACACCTCCATGAGTTTGGATTTGTTCCCTCCGTTGAACTTTCGAGAGGACATATACCATCTTGATAGAAGGGAGTCTTTCCATTGCAAGGTTCTTGCTCGTGCTGACCACTTTTTGCATGGCATGTTATCCACACTAGATTTATCAAAGCATAAAAAAATTGGAACATATTGTCGAAGGCTTTCATGGCCGGAATCACTGGGTTGTTGTAGGTTTTTTCGGGCTATATGGCCATGTTCTAGAGGCATTCTCTCCTGACGTTTCGCCTGCATCTATGGCAAGCATCCTCAGAGGTTGTGAGGTCTGTTGGAACTAGGAAAAAGGGTTTATATATCTGTGGAATGATCAGGGTGGGACAAAGGACTCTTGTCTGCTGGAGCTAGGTGGGAATGTTTCAACTGACCACCTTGATTAGCATATAATGGCCTGGCAGTTGTTTGGTGCGACTTGTTAGTGCCTGGGGGAAGCTTTTGTTGAGAGGTGATTAGATGTCCCTGATTGGGTTGTTTTAGGATTTTTTGGGCTATATGGCCATGGTCTAGAGGCATTCTCTCTTGACGTTTGGCCTGCATCTATGGCAAGCATCCTCAGAGGTAGTGAGGTCTGTTGGAACTTGTAAAATGGGTTTATATATCTGTGGACTGACCAGGGTGGGACAAAGGACTCTTGTCTGCTGGAGCTAGGTGGGAATGTTTCAACTGACCACCTTGATTAGCATATAATGGCCTGACAGTGCCTGGAGCAAACTTTTGTTGAGAGGTGATTAGGTGCCCTTGTTTGGTTCCTTTCTGTTTTTAGAGTTTTTTAATACTGGTAGCCAGATTTTGTTCATTTTCATGATTTCCTCCTTTCTGTTGAAATTGTCCACATGCTCCAGCAGACAAGAGTCCTTTGTCCCACCCTGGTCATTATTCCACAGATATATAAACCCTTTTTCCTAGTTCCAACAGACCTCACGACCTCTGAGGATGCTTGCCATAGATGCAGGCGAAACGTCAGGAGAGAATGCCTCTAGACCATGGCCATATAGCCCCCAAAAACCTACAACAACCCAAAATGGAACATGGCTGGAATTGATGTGATTTTGAGGGTGCATAGCTCAAGTTTAGAGTGCCCAATTCAAAAATCTGTGCTTTGGAAGTATGTTGTTGGGCGAGTGGGTTTATTAACACAAGAGCATCTTCATAAATGTGCAGCAGAGTAACTTCTTAGCAGCGTGACCAGTAGCCCAAAGTGATAACAAGAACAAAAACACACAGACCAATGTTCTCTCTTCCAAAGGAGGCTTTTCTTTATTGCAAAAATAATATGGCTGCACTATTTGCAAGAACTAGGTTTCCATAACACATAAAATTCTTTATACTTCCTTCTTTGCTTCCACAACAAGCTTCTTTCTCGTGCACACAAACAGCTTCGCTCTCACAGTTACACCAAAGTTACACAGAAGCTTCATGCAGTAGCTTTTTACACACTGCAGCCTTCACACATGATGGCCTTCAACCTGGTGCTTCCTCTCACCAAAGCTTCTCACACCAGGCCTTCTCAAACTGAGGCCTACTAACACTGAGGCCTTTCTCCAACTGAGGCCTTCTCACACTGAGGCGTACTCATACTAAGGCCTTTCTCCAACTGAGGCCTTCTCACACTGAGGCCTACTAACACTGAGGCCTTTCTCCAACTGAGGCTTTTTCAAACTGAGGCCTACTAACACTGAGGACTTTCTCCAACTGAGGCCTTCTCACACTGAGGCCTACTAATACTAAGGCCTTTCTCCAACTTAGGCCTTCTCACACTGAGGCCTACTAACACTGAGGCCTTTCTCCAACTGAGGCTTTCTCAAACTGAGGCCTACTAACACTGAGGCCTTTCTCCAACTGAGGCCTTCTCACACTGAGGCCTTTCTCCAACTGAGGCCTTCTCACACTGAGGCCTACTAATACTAAGGCCTTTCTCCAACTGAGGCCTTCTCACACTGAGGTCTTTCTCCAACTGAGGCCTTCTCAAACTGAGGCCTACTAGCACTGAGGCCTTTCTCCAACTGAGGCCTTCTCACACTGAGGCCTTTCTCCCACTGAGGCCTTCTCACACTGAGGCCTTCGTTCGTCTCGTCGCACTAAGACGAACAAATACTGAGGCCTACTAAGCTACAGGTACACCTGCTTATATAGAACAGCAGCTTTTGCTGAGCCATTGCATCCATTCAACCCTTTCAGTGCTTGATGTGCATTTTTGAAATTAAAAATACCTAGTTAATTTTAATATTTCTGAAATACTTTTCTAAAAAATACCATCTTTCAGGCTTCGTTATGAGACTGCAGCAATCACTCGGCCTCTCTTCTCTTCTGGCAACTCGCCTTAAGGCCGTAGGTGTTGTCTTTGGAGCCCAGGCACCGAGAGAAACAAGGCTGGGAGACGAGCACGAGCATCGGGTGGGGATTGGTGCCAAAATAAAGGGATGCATTGAGGGAAGGCCGGAGTTTGCCCATGCCTGGACTCAACCGTGGAAGTCTGACTTGGCCACGGTGGTCCACGCTTCGGTTACATCCCGTATAGACTACTGCAACGCTCTCTATGTGGGGCTGCCTCTGAAGACTGCCCGGAAGCTGCAACTAGTCCAACGTGCGGCAGCAAGTTTACTAACAGGATTTCACTAGCTTTCTGAAGGTCAGGAGGGAAGGGGCAGATCGAATCTCCATGGGGAGAGAGTTCCACAACCGAGGGGCCACCACCGAGAAGGCCCTGTCTCTCGTCCCCACCAGACACGTTTGCGAAAGTGGTGGGAGCACCACTACAGGGAGCACACTACTCCTCTGCTGTGTCAGCTCCACTGGCTGCCAGTTAGCTTCCAAGCACAATTCTGGTGTTGACCTATAAATCCCTAAACGACTCCGGCTCAGGTTACCTGTCCTAATGGATTCTCCCCTACGAACCATCAAGGTTGTTAAGATCTTCTGGAGGGGCCCTGCTCTCGGTCCCACCACTTTCGCAAACGCGTCTGGTGGGGATGAGAGACAGGGTCTTCTCGGTGGTGGCCCCTCGGTGGTGGAACTCTCTCCCGATGGAGATTAGATCTGCCCCTTCCCTCCTGACCTTCAGAAAGCTGGTAAAAACCTGGCTTTGGAATATAGCATTCTCAAAATGATTGGGATGCTCAGCAATTAGCTAATTACTACTGACCACACTGGCGGATTGAGATGAACGTGATTTTATCTTGGCGACTTGGTTGGTGTATTCGGATGTATTTAACTTTTTGATGTGATGATGTTTTTAATTGTATTTGTGTATTAATTTATGCTGTAAGCCGGCCTGAGAGGTTCAGAAGACCGGGGTATAAAAGTTTTAAATATTGATTGATTGATTGATTGATTGATTGATTGATTGATTGATTTAGACCATTTCTACCTGGCCCTTCTCACCTCCGAGGGGGGGGGGGGGGGGGGGACTCAGGGCGGCTAACACAGACAACTATTCAATGCCAACAGTATCAAAACAACAATATAAAATAGCAATATAGAATCCATTACATAACAATTAAGCAGTGATATTAATTAAAATTACATAGGCACATAGAACAGATCACAGAATCACAGATCATCAAGCCATTTCCAATTGTCAAACAATCCTATCGTCCGAGTTCAGTGGCTAAAGTGCTGTTGTTCCCACTAGCCAAAGGCCTGGCTACAAAACCACGTCTTTAGTTTTTTTTCCCCTAAAAGTAAGGAGGGAGGACGCCGATCTAATCTCGCTGGGAAGCAAATTCCATAAGTGGGGGGTCACCACCGAGAAGGCCCTGTCCCTCGTCCCCACCAGAAGCGTTTGAGACACTGGTGGGACCGAGAGCAGGGCCTCCCCAGTAGATCTTAAATTACGAGCTGGAACGTAGAGAGAGAGAGACGTTCGGATCAATAATAATAAATAATAAACCCTGGATGGAGATGTTGCTGTCGAGAAAGGAAGTGATGGCCGCCAGACATTCCCTCTGCTTCCCATCAGCGTCCCTCCGAGCCGAGATATTTATTCGTCCGGGTTCTCCATGCCATAACAATCTGACTCCAGACGCTTGATGCATTGTGCTAACAAAATGAAGTTCAACAGTGACAAATGCAAGATACTCCACTTTGGCAGGAAAAACAAAATGCAAAGATACAGAATGGGGGACAATGAGGCCTGGCTCGAGAGCAGGACCTGGGAAAAAGATCTTGGAGTCCTCGTGGGGAGGAAGGGGAACATGAGCCAGGAATGTGATGTGGGGGCAAAAAAAGCCAATGGGACTTTGGCCTGCATCAAGAGGAGCATAGTGTCTAGATCCAGGGAAGTCATGCTCCCCATGCTCTATTCCGCTTTGGTTAGACCACACCTGGAATATTGTGTCCAATGCTGGGCACCACCATTGAAGAGAGATATTGACTCTAAACTGGAATGTGTCCAGAGAAAGAGGGCGACTAAAATGATTAAGGGTCTGGAGAACAAGCCCTATGAGGAGCAGCTTAAGGAGCTGGGCATATTCAGCCTGAAGAAGAGAAGGCTGAGAGGAGATATAATAGCCATGTATAAATATGTGAGAGGAAGCCACAGGGAGGAGGGAGCAGATCAGGGGTCTGGAGAACAAGCCCTATGAGGAGCAGCTTAAGGAGCTGGGCATATTCAGCCTGAAGAAGAGAAG